CAGGGTTTAAAATGCGACAAAACTTAGTAACTTTTCCAGCAGCTGCTATCCGAACTTCAGCCTCATTATCACGAAGTAGACGAACATATGCAGGCACCAAATCCGTCCTTTATACACAAGGCACATAAGAAAATAATATAAACAAGAATAAAGAAAACAATCAAGATGACTCAACAAACATAAACTTCCAGTACCACCTCTGAAGCCAGTAATATAAAATTTGATATAGATTTGTAGAAATAGAGGTCAACAAAGACATCAATAAAACATTAAACCATAGCTAAGCTCAACCATCATTGCTTACTTAGTTGGCTCTGGTCCTACAGCTTCACAAAGTTCATAGAGCTGATTTGCAACCATATAACGCACACGCCAGGACTTATCCTGCTCAGAGACAAAATATTAAGATAAAGCAGCACATTAATATCTGCCTTACAGCTTTCCAATAAAGCTCATCAGCGGAAAATCTTATCCTAATCACACATTTACACACCTGCGAGAAATTGACAATTACAGGAAGAATGTGTGTCACACAGTCCTGGGGCTCCAACAATTTCCCAAGAGCAGCACAACCCTCAACAGCCAATAATCTAACTGAATCTTGATCTGATATTGATGTCCACAAGATGGTTAAACGCTATACGATCATCATACAAGTAAGATACTGAAACTTTTATAGTTATATGTGGACATTGGACAAAACTAGTGCTGATTAGTTTCAGCTATTGCTCAGTGTTCAATGCAGTAACCCTATTACTAGCCTTTTTTTACATTAGCCAACCCCATAAACAGACATGATGAAATTTTTAAGAGGTATATGCTGGCAAAATGAAACCATATTAAGTTGGAAAACATACCATCTTGAGTAAGATCATCAAACATGGACATAATCTCTGTCTTCAAATGAGCTGAATCAATTGTAGCAGCAAACTTCCCCAAATTCGTTGCTGCTGCTCTGCGCACCATTGGCATGTCATCTTGACAAAGCTGACTGTATATTGATCTCAGCTCTGCCTTTAGCAGATCTGGAGCACTTGGGTATGCAATATGGAAAATTCCACATGCTGATACTCTGGCTGTGAACCACTCACCAGCTGCAAGTCGCTGTTAAACAATGACGGTGTTCAGTAAGCTTAAGTTGGTTGCATATTATAGCATCATTTTGGTTCCTATACGGTCCCAAACACAACCACAAACACAACCCAAAAGAACGCTACTGAAGAAAAAAAATTGATGGTGTTCTCTTGGATCAACCAAAATAGATGTAAACAACTACAACCTATCGATTCCCCAAAACAACTTAGAAGGGAAATACTGAAACAAAAAGGCAAAAGCATATTTCCAAACTTTGGATAGCGAAGGACCCAAAACAATCTTAGTTCTTTTGCTTTGAGTGTAGCTCAATGTCACATGGCTGATTAAGTTACACAGAGCATGGAAAGAGAAAAATAAATTAACCAAAGAGATTAATAACAGGAGTAACTGCCCTTATCTAACCTTTGCCAGAGGTAAGAAATGCTCAACCAAATCAGTCTCCCTCATCTGAGAACCAATTCTGCAAAGTGACTCTACAGCTTTTTCCCTCACGCAAGTTTCCTCAACAGTCGAGAGTGTCTCCAGCGGTGGAAGCAAAACATGAGCATGCTCAACGCCTCCTACATAAGGAATAAAAACCCCCAACTCTTCAGCCATGGCGAGAAGTACCTCATCATCATCGTCATTGTTTTCACTAAGAAACGGGATCAACTCTTTTCTAGTCCTCTCCTCTCCAAGAGCACGTGCAATGATAGAAAGCCGTCTAATGGAGTTCAATCTAAGCTGAATATCATCGTTTTTTAGCTCGTCTATAAGGACGGCGATCGGGTATAAAGGCTCATCAACCGTAGACATCCTCACTAATATACTCAAATCACTCCCTAGGTACCTTCTTCAAATAATCCTAACCAAACCAAACACAAATAGTCAGAATAAAACACAATGCATATACACACCATCAATACAAAAGACGATAAAGTTACAAACTTTAAACTCAATTTTGCCTCTGAGATAATTCAAAGGTAACCCATTTCACCTCAAACAAAAAAGGGTTGCATCAGAATCAAACACGGAGAGAAGAAGACCTAGAGAGACAACAACCATTAATTGACAATCTAAACAAAATAATATTGATTTTGAGATTCTTAAACACATTCGAAATTGTTTCTAATTGAAGAAGAAATGATCGAGATTGTACCGATTACGCTGTTTTCCCCAAGTTCCGAGCGATCTATCAATCAGAACAGAAGAAGGAACGAGAATGAGAGAGAACCGGAGCACTTTCTCAGCAGCTACCCATCTTAAGGTGTGTCCATATAATTGGGCCTGTCCAGGATAAAACTAAGTGGGCTTAGATTTAATACATAAAGGCCCATATATGTAATAATACGGCGCCGTTTCTAATATCTCTCGTAGTGATTATTATTTTTATTTTTTTGGTGGAAACTCTCGTAGTGATCCCCTATATAGTAAAAGAGAAGTACATTTTTCTTTCAAAAAAAAATTTGAGTAAAATTACGAAAAAACATACACTTACCCTTCTCTCTTCATTCTCATTAAGGGTAAACAGGTAAAAACCGCATTGTCGGGTCGGGTCAATTTCTTAATTGTAACCCGAAATTACAAACTGGGTCTTTTGAAAAACATCTTAATGTTCAGGTCAATATCAAAATCGAATATGCCTTATTATTCGGCCTCGCATGAGTATCAAGCTATGACCTCTTTGACGAAGATTCAAGTGTACCCACGAGTCTTGGAGCACCGTCTCTTCATCAGAGATCCGATACGGGTCGTGTGTAGGTTAAATTCTAGAGAACGTAGCAATAGGGTTTGTGTGCATCGCTGTGAGAGTGATTCTGGTGAGAAGAAAGTTGAAAGAAGGAGAAAAGTTGAGAAATCTAATGGGTTGTGGAGTTCTTTGAAATCTGGGGTTTTAGGTTTTAGTAAATTAGGGTTCTTATCTAAAGATGAGTACAATCACAAAGTTGAGAAACTGGAGATGGTCTTCTCTAAGGTTAGTCTTTAAAGTTTCAACCTTTTTATTCTTTGTTCTCTGATTACTCTAAAGTTTTAACCTTTTTATTGGTTTTGTAGATTGCTGTTCAGATTGCGAGATATATTGTGACTATGACAAGTACTGGAGCTATTCTCTTGATTGGGTTTCAATTATCAGGTTAGTGCAAGACTGTTGTGTAGAAGATTGTTTTGAAAGGTTGAAACTTTGTTTTGGACTGGGTTTTGTGTGTGTGTGTGTGTGTGTATTGGTATGAAAAGGTGGGGATGGTTCGAAGAACTCATTGATTTGGTATAGTTGGCTTGGAGATATTATCATTGGAACTATGATTGGGTCTAACATGGTTTTGGAAGATCATTACAGAGCTGATCTGCGTAATGTTGTTATTACTGGAAGGTAAAGTTCTTTACTTTCTGTTTTTTTTTGCATTGTTTCTTTGTGTGTTTTGTTGTGATGCTGATTTGTGTTTTTGATTGATCTGTGTTTAAGTACGAGAGGACTAGGGAAAGCTCTTGCTAGAGAGTTTCTTCTCTCTGGAGACATTGTCACATCTCGCAGGTTGGTATATTGAATTGTATATGGGAATATGGATTAGTTTTTTCTATCGAGAAATGATTTCTTATGATTT